ACTGATTAGTAATTATTGAGGCATATCACTGTTGCCAACTTCATACAAAATTTTATCCAATATTCTGCTTTCAAAGTTAAATCCATATATACACGAAATTATTGAGGATGATCAGTGTGGGTTTCGGGCTCGATGTAAGAGATCAGCTACTGATCAGATCATTGCAGTCGTCAGATACAGGGGAGAAAATGGGAGTACACACTGAGGCAGTGCATCATCTATTCATATACTTCAAGAAAGCGTATGATTAAGTTAGGAGCGAAGTATTGTACAGTATTCTTCCATGAAACTAGTCAGGCTGATGTGTTTAAATGAAACATATAGTAAAGTCCTTACAGGTAAACAAAATTCTCATAACTTTCCTATTCAAAATTGTCTAAACCAAGGAGATGCTTTATTGCCACTACTTTTTATTGTTGCTTTAGAATATTCCATTATGAAGGTGCACGAAAACCAGATGAGACTGACATTAAATGGGACACATCAGCTGCTGGTATTTGCTGATGATGTGAATCTAGTAGGTGATAACATAGATACCATAAAGGAAAACACAGAAACTGTAATTGATGCCAGTAAGGAGGCTGGTTTAGAAGTATATTGTCACATGTTGGGCGTATAACGCGACAAATAAGTTCACGCCGTCATCCCAATATAGCGAATTTATTTCCTTCGCTCACTTACACACTTTACAGGCATTTTCACTTGCAGTGTCACAATCACTGCTTACAATATCCGGAGAGGCACTGGACTCTCTTCTCCGAAGGCTGGCCCGAGACTCTCTTCTCCGGAGGCTTTGATGAAGGCTGGTTTCTTAGGCGGCTCGATGAAGACTCCCTGTTTCTCGCTGAAGCTGGGCTATTTATAACCTCGCCGCTACTAGGCAAATGGACCTTATGTTATAACCATGGAGACGTTGCTTTGTTTGTTCAGCGTTTCCTACGCAATGACCCATTGTTATTGTGTTGTCTTTGTGGGAACGCTACGCTTGTTTGTCGTAACCGTGGAGATTCGATGTTCTCGATACAACGGCTCACTGTTGGAATTACAGTATCACTATTGTTACTTCTTATGCAACNCGCCAGTAAGGAGGCTGGTTTAGAAGTATATGTTGCTGTCTTGTCACTAGAATGCAGGGCAAAATCATGACATGAAGATAGCTAAATTAGCTATTCCAAGAAAACTGTTCCTTTTGTGAAAATTCATAAATTGAAATGAAATACCCATGTACTTTACATGTAAATAATGACAAACTTACAAATGTAAGTTATCTGTTGTAGCAAGAACAAAGTTTGTTAAATAAAAGGCACAAATTAACACACTTCATTGTACCATTGCTGTAGATGCTGAAACATGTCAGGTAAACAGCCAACCTAAATGTATTGTAATTAAGAGTACATGGTAAATGATATGTATGTAATAAATAACATTACGGATTACAGTGATAGGGAACTCAGCCTTAAAATATGTTAGCTGGTATTGTATTGCCTTATCTCAGGCAGTTAGTCGCTAGCTTCCCAGGTCCAATCCCAGGACAGGTCAAGTGGGATTTGTGATAAAGTGGCACTAGGGCAGTTTTTCTCGAAGTACTTCAGTTTTTCCTGCATAGTCTCATTCCACTGACTTCTCTGCACCGATCATCATCATCTGGGGCTGGTACAGTCGGCCAAATAGTGGCCACAATTGTTAGTGGACTCAGTCTCACCCCAACCCTAAAAAATTATATGTTTATTTGATTAGAAAATGTGGCATGGGAGGCTTGGATCAAGAGAGAACACATGCAATTGATCCTCAACTTATAAACTGCTTACTTTCCAAAGCCCTGTTTATACATTAAGTCATTTTTAAGTGAAAACATACTTTTTCTCCATAATAATTAGTGTAATTAACAGTTGTTTAATATGGAAGCTACTGAACAAAGCCCATTTCAATCTGCAATAATATGAGGGGGTACCCAAAAGAAACCGAATTTATTTTTTTTAAACTTATTTATTCAAATTTTAAGCACAAACCTTCAATCCCTTTCAAAGTACTCTCCACTTACACTAATACACTTGTCTAGTCTTTTAGTCCATTTTTCAAAACATTGTCTAAATTCATCTTTTGAGATGTTTGACAGCGCCTCCATCGTTTTTTCCTTTCATGTCTCCTTTCATTCGAGGAAACAAAAAAATGTCGCACGGGGCAAGGTCGGGTGAGTATGGAGGGTGAGGAACAGGGGTCATACCATTTTTGGTCAAGAATTGTCGTACAGACAGGGCTGTGTGAGCAGGGGCATTGTCATGATGGAAAAACCAGTCACCCGACTGCCACAAATCTGGCCGCTGAGCTCCAAGTCACTCCCGACAGCTCCGCAATTTCTTCAATGGTCCGTCGTCAATCTTCCTTGACGATTTCATGAATTTTTTCAACATTTTCATGTGTTCGGGCCGTGGAAGGACGACCAGAACGAGGTTTGTCATCAATTGGCATTTCACCATTTTTGAAACGGGAAAACCACTCAAACACTTGAGTTTTCCCCATAGCATCGTCCTTGTACGCCGTTTTTAACATTTCAAGAGTTTCTGTTCCACTTTTCCCGAGCAAAAAGCAGGATTTCACTGCCGCACGCTGTTCACGAAAATCAGCCATTGCAAAAACGACGATCACACAAAACAGTTGTCACTATAAACTCTGCCAAAACTAGTCCTTATCTTCTGAAGCAACGGTAGTCAGCTTATCGACGCAGGAATGTTAGCTCTATGCGCTCATAGCGGCAAAACGCGGTACTACAAAAGCTCTGCCCACAAAAAAATTATTTCGGTTTCTTTCGGGTACCCCATCGTATATGTAGTTTTCTTTATAAAGGAACATTAAAGAGTGCATTAATTGTCCAGCTATTCAAGAACTTCCCAAAATTTCATTGAACCAGAAGGTTCATTACCGTGTTCACAAGAGCCCTCCACTGGTTCCTATCCTGAGCTAGATCAATCCAGTTCATACCACCCCATCCTCTCTGTCTGACATCCATTTTAATATTCCACCCATCTACGTCTTGGTCCTCCCAGTGGTCTCTTTCCTTGTGATTTTCCCACCAATACTCTCTACATTCCTCTTCTCCCCTCCATTCATGCTACATGCCCTGCCAATCTCATTTTCTTTGACATGATCATTCTGTTTATACTTATCAAAAACTAAACATTATGGAGCTCCTCATTATGTAGTTTTCTCCGACGCATTAATTTTCCACACACAATTTAAGCAGAGGAGACCAAATAAATTCCCATGACAGTGACATTAAGGAATGCAGTCTTCTAGATTGCAATGCCTTGTTGCTGAGACACAGCTGAATGTTCCTCCAAAATGTCGGGTTCCCTCCGAACTGCATGGCATTACAACTTATCCTATGCCATGTGTGTTTGTTTGTTCATGACTTGAGTTACTTCATATAGCAGATAGTTGTTGGGATTCAAGGGTTTCATAGCTATGTAACTGTATAGTTTGGTGAGTATCCACTTGGAGGTTTGTTCTGTCTTCACCTTCAGTGGAAGATTACATCATATTCACAGGTATGTAAGGAAGCCAGTGTGCTGAGCTATATCGTTTTTATCCTTTCAGCATGTTCCATGATTTCTTGAAACAGATAATATTTTATGTTCTCATGGCAGTGAATATAAAGATAGATGTCTTCTGGAATGTTACAACATGCAGTGTATTATAACCCTGAAGATGGAAGCGGTATGCTCCTTCAGAGCATTCATGACTGTCAGTATTGCATACCAGAAGATTGCAGTCCTAAAAAATGAATGCAGCTGAAGTCTTGTTAATATTTATGCAGACATAGCCCAATGGAAGTTGACGCCATGATCAGAGACATTTTTTGGAATTTAAGGTTTCATTGTACAGCTCTCAGATGCAGCCTGTATTTTGAAATGTGATAGGGTGGAGTAGTCAGCATTTAAGCCTCACCCACTTCTCAATATGCATTGTAATGAATTTTTCTTTTTGCTGGATTTAGTCAGACTTTGTGTGAAAAGATAAAAGTGTCAGTCAACAGTGCAGTTGGTTTTCGCTTGTGAATATTATTTTATATTAATATTATAGGGTTGTCTTTGCTTGGTTACATAAAGTGACAATGTACATCATGAAACTTTCCATGAATATAAAAATACCACTTAAAATTTTAGTGTGATTTTTCCGTTAGTTCAAATGTCCCCAGAAATGTCCCCTGTAAACTGGGAAATTTGTTATATTTCACTAGCAATAAATTATTAAGTATGGTTCAATCCAAAAATAGCTCAGTTTGCTGGTAAAGGCAGAGTTATCCCGGTAACAGGATGTGGAGGCCCATAGGGTTGTGAGATGTTGAGGCTCCCACAGTGTGTTCCTCTGAAATGCTCCTGAACATCTGTCAGACTACATGACATCACACCCAAAAATGTAATACTGTCTGTAGTCACCTCTAGGAGAACCTCAGTTCTAACAGGTCGCTCTTACATTTGCAAGTTTTTGTAATCATATCAAAGGGCGATTCCTTGTTCAGCTAAATTTTTATCACCTATCATACTGTCAGCCAGCCAGTCAAGTCACCCATTCACTCATTCAGCATGTCAGTTCACCAGGTCTTCAGGGCTATGTCAGTATGTAATCTTGTAGGTGATCAAGCGATCAAGAGAGTAGCCATAAAAACAGTCCTTAACTTCCAGATCATTATGTTGCTTTGAATTACAAACTAATCTTGTGAAGAAGAGTTCTTTGTCCTGTGTAGTCCAGTGAAAATCAACTGACATTTCAGAGGAAGCAGACAGCAAGCTGAGCTCAGCTCACTGCTGTTTCTTGCTGGTCTCTTGCATGGCTTATGCTTTGACCCTAAAAGGCTGTGTGTTCCTATGAAACATCAGTTGGCTTTCACCAGACTGCACAGCACTTTATCTTGGAAGACAGAATTCCTTATTACCACTGCTGTGAGAACTGCAAATTGAGCGTAGTATGTTAATGATGGAAGGTCCTATATTTTTATGTAGTTTCTGGACGCTGCCTACCTACACCTATAGATCCCGAGTCTGAGAGCTTACAGAACTTCTTTAATAAGACCAAAGAAGCACTGGAGGATTTGGTGCTGGGTCAGAAAGGTGTAAACATCTTAGCTGATGCAAAACAGGTACAGTTGAATGTAGTCTTGTGTTCATGAGTGCTTGTATTTTGAGAACATAATGATACGAGCACCAGTAATTCCATTTTTAATTTTTAGTTAATGAAAAGTTTGGAAAAAAATCGCTGTGGAAGAAGTTGAGCATATGTACTTTCCATTCTGGAGGTCTGTATTTGAGTATTGAACTCTGTTACCTAAATTCTGCTCTGGTTTCCCTAGTTATTCATAGAAGATACTGAAATTTATAATATGTACAAGTTTGTGACGATGGTACATTAATACAAATATTATGTTTCTGGACATTGTCCATTATCTGGTTTTTACTTAAAATCACTGTCCTATTTTTATTTGGAACACAACATTTTGGAGACTGAATTTTGTCTCT